TCTTTGTTAAAATTTATATGTTTATATGTATAAAAATGTGATGCTGGAAAATTTGGTGATCAAAAGTATCTTTCTTTGGTGATCATTTGTATCTAAAAGCGTTTGGTGATCAAAAGTACATTTACTCTATTTTACATATCTAACATATAATAATCAAAAAAGATGATCACATTTCTTAACAGTTTGCTGTACTGTTCTGCTTTTAAATTCTCTAATTCTTTGTTCAGCTTGTTCAGAAATAATAAACAAGATGATAATAATAACAATGATGTACTGTAATTACTTCGTTATATTCTATTTGGTAATCTAGGCAGACTCCCATCCTATTATGACACTTTTCCCAACAACAACAAAAGAATGCATTAATTAACCTGTTGTTACTATTTTTTAATCCTTTCAAGTTTTTTTCTAATGACAGTAATCGATTTAACCTATTCAATATCCATGGTTAATTACTATTCTTTTAAATTTCTACGTTGAATCATCGTTGAACGGGGAAAAAAATCGAACAACCTTTACCTGAAATTCTGTTTACAGAATGTTTCTGAAATCGAGTTTTTTTGAGACGATTGACATTTAGGTACGTTTTTTCTTTAAATAACAAAGGATAGAGAATTATTTAACAAATTCACTTTCATAAAATGACAAATAGTTTTCCACCGATTGTATATATATTTTTACGAAACTTATCTATATATTTATCTTGCATAGTAGTCAAGCAGTCTCTAGTGAAGAAAAACTAGCAAGTTGAAATTTTGAAAAATTAATGATTCCAATAATGTTTCACTGAAATTCTGTCCAGATCCATTGAGAAAATCAAATGATACGGTAGTTCACATCAAAATGTTGTATGCGTCACTACACTCGAACGTTACCTATAAGAGATGTCGCCTGTGTCATCAACTAAGAATTTTTTTGTACGAACGAGAACATTTAAGTTACATTGTTCTTTAAAGACTGCTTTTTTAACAAAACTTTTTGAAAATCCGTCCGCACATATGCTGTATGATTGGTCGTCAACTGTTGGCTTGAGGTAAATATTGGAGTGCATCAGTCACCATCTGTTCCATTTCATTTCAAACGTGAAGCGGAATAAAGCCCATCTGAAGCTCGGTACTTAATCCTAGTGTTCTTAAAAAGTGAGATGTAAAATATTGTTCAAATCGTATCGATTACTTAACTGCCAATCTTTCTATAGATAAGAAGCAGAACAGAACAAATTTAGTTTTTCAAAAAACTGAATAATTAAACCTGAAGTTATTGAAAAGCTATTGCCTTTTTGCTCTATTCAGACTTTATCGATGGCTTTCGGTATCAATTCCATCTATTTTTTTCTTGTTCTGGCTCAGTATTTTTCTTGATGTGATTAGCCTGATTGTGCTTTAAAACCCCTCACTTTGCCCATTAGCAGGCGTTTAGCTCTCTTGTACGGCCCTCGATAGCATTAAGGAAATTAATTAAATAATGTATTTCTCTTGCTCTCATATTCAGCTTTCCTTCTGTTAAATATTCTATTGTAAAAGAGAAAATGCTTAGTTTAGCGAGAAAGACTTTAAATATTGGTTTTTAGACTATAAGAGTTTATTCAAGAACCATGGCCAATCACCAAAGGTTTTCAATCTGCAACGCGTTTTTTCTGCAATAACTACATATATAAATTGCATTATACTGAACGACTCGTTTCTCACATCAGACGGATGGATGCGCAAAAATTTCCTTCACGTTTTTTAGAAAAAATAAAATCACTCTACTGTCAAAAAACGAAAATGCTGGAGAAAAAGCAGGACGTTCATAGTGCTTCTATGCAAAAATCATTTTGTTTTTAAGATGTCAAACACGAATGATTTATTGGAAAAAAACGGTGTCTCAAAAGAATCTCGAATTGTTCGTGTTCGAGATGTAAGTATGAAGACAAAAGGACGAAAAAAATCTTAGTGTTCATTTATTATTTTTTTCATTTATTTTACCCTGTTTAGTTACCGATCTACTATAATGCAAAAGAAGATGATATTTATCAGTATGCACCCGAACAAAATACATGGTTAAAAACTCAAGTTAGTCAAATTAGAAAATCTGTACAACAAACATGGAGTGATAATAAAGTATAATATAGAAAAAAATGACAGCAGTTTATCAAATTAATTCATGTGTAATTTATTTTCTTTCTCAGGAATTACGTGTTAGAATTGCACGGATGATTGAAACGGGCGGTGCACATGCAAAGTGTTCGTTTCTCCACGATGTTTAGATTGTCGCATATCTTTTTATATGTTTTTTACATTTTAGCCACGGCAGATTACATTCGTGATGATCACACATTTTTGCCTAAAGTTGGTGTGGTTACATTAGCAGGCCTAGGAGGATTATTACTAGGACACAGAGGTAGAATTGAACATTTTTCTAGTATAATACTTTTAAACAAATGTTTATTTGTCTCTTTAGGTGGTCCAGTTCGTAAAACATTTTATTCATCTGTCGCCGTAGCTGTTGCGTTGAGCGCATGTTATCCAAAACAGAGTGCAGCTATACTTGATCAAGCCTATGTTCGAATAAAAAATGAAGCAAATTTTGCTTATGAAAGTAGGTAGATTATGGTAGTTAAAAAAAAGAAACAAAATCTTTATTTTTGTTTAGAAGCAACTGGCAAATCTGTGCCAACAGCACCATCAACAGCAACATTAAATAAAAAATTATCTGATGTTAAAGATAAAATAATTCATACAACAAAATCAACATCAACAACTTCAACTCCAGTAGTTCCTGATTATGGTCAAGGAAGTTTAGCTGATCAACATTTGTATACAACACGTGGTGGTACAACAGAATATGAAAGATCAAAAAAATAATTATTATCTATTAGACACAGATGCATATTACTTAACAAACAACTATTTCTATTTTCTTAATCTTCAGTTTGTATTTAATTGTTTTTACCAAAGTTTCTTTTTTCCTGTTTTTTGTAATATGCTATATACATTATAGGATACAGTAAAATAAAAAACTTAAAATAGTATGAATATTAATAACCAAATCAACTGTATATTCTGATTTAATTTTCAATAGTATTCACCAATTTACATCTAGAAACCGTTTCCACTGGTACAACTACAGACGGGAGGAGGGAACAATGAACCATGCCCCAATAGGATTTAGAAAAAAGCTGATGCTACCCGTTTTTTTGTAAGACTCGGTGTCGCAACTGGCTTCATGTTTGCCCTTACGTGTTTTAAAACCGTACTTGTATTCAGACGTTCTGTTCTACAATCCCTCAGCAGTGTTATAAAAGGCGGATCAAACACTGAAAGCAGAGATAACTTGTTCATTACTTTATAGAAATGAATCAGTAAAAATACTCACGATAGTCAAAAGCCAAATATCCGATTTAGTCAAAACCGTCTAAGTAGTCAAGATAGTCAGAGGTGAAAACCAATCAGTATCAAAATGGTCAAGAGAGTGTAGACGAAATAAATAGTCGAAATAGTGAAGGTAGTCAATACCATCTGAATAGTCAAGGTAGTCAAAACCGTCGAAATAGTCAGAACGGTCAAAACCAAGCAAATAGTCAAAATGGTTAAGATACTGGAAACCGCCTAATGACATCCGAGCGTCGCGAGATCGCTGATGGAGGAAAAGTATTGACATCATGTGCGAACGATCGTCGGTTTCGGACCCATGAATCTCAAGGGTCATTTTTTCTTTTTCACCCTTGGTAAGGCGTTGACCAACCAAAATGTTTTCACAAATGGGCCTGAGCATTGGGCAGGTGTACCAAAAGTTTCTGCCCGCTCGACTTTAAAGATCTTGAGCTATCGAATTTTTCGTTCGTATAGCTAGTAAAAAGGATTTCATTCTTTTTCTTTATTTTCACATAAACTTGGCTACATATACAACACATGTGTTCGAAAACGTTTAGCAAGTCTGCTGTATTCTCGGTAAAAGGTCATGCCATCACAAAAACTGTAATTTCTTCTTCTTCATTAGTTATAGTTGGTATCAGCAAGTATCTGCTTCGAACACTTCTTTGTTAGCTATCATATTCATTAGTTGAACTGTCAGATCTTTTGTGTTGTATGTTTATGTGAAAGTCCTGTTAGTAGCTATACGAACGAAAAATTCAATAGCTCAAGATCTTTAGAATCGAACGAGCTGAAACTTTTGGTACACCTGCCCAATACTCAGGTCTATTTGTGAAAACGTTTTGGTTACTCAACGTCTTACAGAGAGTGGAAAAGACAAAAAATAGTAAACATTAGTTTTTGTTATACAGAGAATAAAAATGCGATATCTTGACAAGGAAAACGCCAACAACTAAATACTGGTCATGTGAAGAATGTGATTGTTCAGCGAAGGTGCATACAGATTCAAATGGCGTGTTCGTAAAATCCAGAGGTAATCATCAGCATTTGTCAAGTCCAGAGGATATTGAAATTCAACATTTCAAACGAAACTTGAAAACACGTACAGTCAATGGAACTACAGCCATTGCTAAAATATACAATGAAGAATTGGCGAAACAGAACTTTTCTCAAATAGCAGCAGCAATCGTTCCACCATCGTAGGAATGGGGTCTGTGCAATTTATGTTAATTAACAGCATACAATATGTTTTCTCTTGTTTTAGGTTCATCATTGAGCAGAACACGTCGAGAAATTAATCCTGTTCTGCCGCCTTCGTCTCCATTCAATATTCTCGATCTATATGGAACTACACACAATCAAGAACAATTCATAAGCACCGATCGAGTTAAACGTAAAAAACGTTTAATTTTACTGTCTTTCAATTCGTTGAAAGATGAAGAATCGCATTTTCGCTATTCCGTTCTCCAACAACAAGCAGCTGCAAAAACCAGACCAAAAACAAAAAATTTTATGTTTTTTCCGCTTTTGTCTGCCTTGTTTCTCATTGGATTATTATAACTATAAATTAACATCATCAAGAATTAAAATCGTCATTTTGTTAAGGTGCACGTAAAGCAAATTTCGAGCACTTTTTGTTTTTCGCTAAAAGGTACACCATCCGATGTAGAATTTGATGCTGATCACGAATATCACCTTGAAAGTTCAAAAATGTTTTGTTTTGGGGGAGAAAATTGCAAAATACTGAAAACCTCCAAAAACTTCCAAAATTTCTTACTTTTCGAAAAATACTCATAACTTTTTCTAGAAAGCTGCTACCAACTCAAACTTTTTTTTGTTAAATTCACAATACCCTGATTGATCGATATGAAAATACGGAAATTGATTTAGCAAAACTGTTTCAAGGACTATCGTTTGTCGCTGCAAAGGACAAAAAACAAGTAGTGTACTTGGTGATCAATACTTCGTAAAACTGTTAGCTACTTTTCTGCTTTATTTACAAGGTTTGTTTTCTATCTAGTTTGTTCAAGAACGTTACTTTTAAGGCTCTTTATTGCCGAGGTGATTCAACATGACCCGTTAACGGCCGTAAAATCGATTTACGACGCGTAACCCTATGCTTCGTAATACTGTCGCCGTAAACTAGCGTATTATGACTATAAACGGTCTCGTAAAAGATTATTTACGGCTGTAGTATTACGGAACATAGGACTACGGCCAAATTACGTCAAGTTATGGTGCGTTATGTTACAGTACACGGTCGTAATTCGCTGTATATGGCCGTCGTAACCAGTGTATGTAAAGAAATAGAACGGCAAAAGATTTCATACAAACAAAATGACCGTATGCTCAAAAGATTTGTAGATCTATCGGCAGAATTATGAGCAAGAAATATTTTGGAGATACGAGTTTACTTTTAAAACTCACATTTCATCTTTCTGTTCTCTTTCTTTTCGATCGACACGTTGAGACGAAAGAATCTCCACACATGGGATATCTTATGTGGAAAGTGATATCTCCTTATTTGCTAATTCTCTATTTAGTCATTAAACCGTTCCGAAATCATATATCGACACTATAGGGTCTATCGAATCATTGAGGCATTCTCGGACTAACGATTGTACAGACATATAAATATATTCTTCTTAAGAATCTATGAATTTTTTGAATGAATGGGATCAGTTTTATTGATCGAATATAAAAAATGAGCATATGTGAATCGTAGTCAGAATTTAGTTTATAGTTCTCTTTCCTTCACTGAAAGTAGCTAGTTACTGGATTGTGTTATTATTTCTCCGTGTAATGAACTTAGAAGTCGATAGAAAGCAGCTTTAGGATCGAAACAGTGTTTTTAGAGAACATAGGAATCCAGAAGCCTTCAACATAAGTGACATTGTCATCTCTTTAGTCCATAATTTCTATTCTGGAAACCGAAGGTCGTCTGTTGTATATGTGCCAATGTTCAATATCAACACTCACAATCAAAAATACATAGTCCTTTTCTTTAATTTTCATTACCAAAAAAAGATATCAGTTTATCTTAGTGAACGTAAACAGTATATGTACAAAACTCATGTCGAGAAATCGCTTTACGTCTCTTGACTTGGATTGTCGTCAATGAGAATTATTTTACTCACAATTATACATGAATGAGAAGTAATCCTTATCTCAGTAAAAATAAATAAGATAACTCATCCGAAAGTATCGACACTTTAGCATCATAGAGTTGTGTAATTTCAGAATGACTTTATAAATATTTCTGATTCCAATCGTTCACAAAATTTCTATGCTCTTAAGAATATATGCTGACATCTCTACAACCACTAGTACAAGAATGCTTTCGTGGTCCATAGGCCCTTACAAACTGTTTGTTAGCCTGCACAAACTTTATTCGTAAGAATAAACTCAAAAAACGTCAAAACAAAAAGCCTCTCCTCTGTACAAACAAACACTGTATATATATATATTAAGAAAGAATGTTGACTCAACCAGAACTGAGTCAGCATTCTTCGTGGTCATGAGAAATGAAAACAGATGAAGAAAGAATGTTGACTGACGAGGGAACTGCCCCAAGTGTCCGCTCGCTTTTTTGTTGAAATCTAGTGGAGAATAGGTTATCGACTATGCTGATTCCGAATATGACAATGGTTTTTGCTGCTAGGCCTTCGAAGACCTGGT